ATGAGCATTGTTTCAGTATAATTCAAAGACAAATCAGATGATTTTCCCCAGAATGACACTACGTTTATAAATTTCAATATAAGAGAAGATCGGGTATTTTTCCATCATGCTGGAAGACAGCTAGAGTCCAACCAATCCCCAAAAAAAAGGAACAAGAACCTGCCCAACAACTACAAGCCCATTGTCCTGTTATCAGTAATCTCCAAAGTGATGGAGAAAGCCATCAATATTCAGCTTACGAAATATCTGGAGAGCTCAGGAATCATCAATGATAGACAATACGGCTTTCGCCACAGAAGATCTACTGGAGATCTACTTGCCTAAGTCTCCCATTTATGGCAAGCTTCATTAGAAAAACACGGGGAATCTCTAGCTGTCGCGTTGGACATATCGAAAGCATTTGACCGTGTTTGGCACGAAGGACTCCTCCACAAACTACCATCATACGGCTTACCACCTCAGCTATGCCATCTGTTATCGAGTTTTCTTTCAGGCAGTTCGCTTCACGTGGAGGTGGACGGTGTATCGTCTGATACCATTGGCATCAATTCCGGCGTTCCACAAGGATCAATTTTGGCACCAACATTATTCCTGCTTCATATGAATGATATGTTGGGAGTAACAACTTGCCCCATCCACAGCTTTGCAACAACTTTGTTGAATTTAACGCCACCAAAACTCAAGTCTGTATTTTCTCTAGAAAGGCAGAACTCAGTATGCCCGATATTGAAATGTCTGGCACCACCAAGCCCACCATATCTATGCTCGGTATTTCCATCAGCAACACTCTTTCATGGGATAATCATGCCAGATCCATCGCAAAAGCTGCTTCACAAAAACTAGGATTCTTGTTCCGTGCGAAGAGCTACTTTACACCTCAACAGCTTCTCATGATATACAAAGCGCAGATACGGCCTGTTCTAGAATACTGTTCCCACATATAGGGTTCAGCACCAAAACATACGCAGATGCTCTTAGATTCCATCCGGAGAAGAGCCATTCGCCTGGTGGGTGACGCCACACTCAGTCACTCTTTGACATCATTGAAACACCGTAGAAAGGTCGGCGACCTTTCACTTTTCTATCGATACTTCCACGGGAAATGTTCTTCGGAAATCTCTGCTATCATCCCTTCACTAGCAATACCAGTCAGACGAACTAGACAAGTCCAGTCAGCACATACTTTCTTTGTCAACCTCGAAAGATGTCGAACAGCACTTTGTCAAAACTCCTTCATCCATTGAACGGCTAGGCTCTGGAATTCATTACCTGAGGAAGTATTCCCAACAACATATAATCTCCAGAAGTTCAAAAAAAGCTCCAATACCTACCTACTGTCCCTATCCTCCCTAGGAACGCACGATGTTCTTCGAACATTATAGGGATTACCTTTCGTGCGCTCCAAGCGATAAAAAAACATAAGAGAAAATTTCAGTCCATAGGTCGCGTGCACGATGAACGATCCTGGAGGTAAAATATTGAAACACAACCTCACTCTTCTGTGAATTATTGAAACACAACCTCACTTTTTCATTTGTTTACAGAGTAATCAAAGGATTGAAATAGTTTTTCACAATATTTTGGCATACGAATCGTGTTTTTGCGCTATTCATGAATTCAAGCATGTCTTCGCATTGTGCTGTTGTACGCACAAACAATGCAGCGAGACGAAGGAATATGATTTTTCAGGTAAATAGTAATCTCACATAGTTTTCATTATAAAATGTTGTTATTCCTCCTGCCACTTCTTCAATACAAGCTAATACTGCTAATAGATTGAGAATGTCTACAACACACACGATCATATTTCGTCAGCATGTCAGACCAGTCCTCTCGTTTAATTGCATGAATCCAATCGTCTTGCATTATTCCAGAAATGTCACGTGTATTTTTATTAGCTCCTATTGCAGAAGGAATTACGATGAGAAATCAGAGAAATTACCAAATTTCAAAAATGAAAACTATATGTGAGTGACTATAGTAGGTACTTACTTTCAAATCATAATGTACCTACCGGATTCCTTCGTCTTCTGCTGCAGTTTTTGTGCATTGTACAACAGCACAATGTGATGGCATGTGCGAATTAATAAATAGCCGAAAAATACGATTCGTATGCCAAAATAATTGTGAAAAACTATTTCAATCACTTGTAAACAAATAAGATAAGTGAGGTTGTGTTTCAATGTTGTTCCTCCAGTGCCGGTCATCTGACAGTTCTTGCACGCAACCCATAGTCAGTTTAGGTTAGGGAATACACAGGAATCAATGTATCGGTTCAGAAGAAAATGCAAGCGGATTGTTTGATTTTAATTTTGAAAATCTGAAGAAATGAATCACATTACGTGGTTCTCATAGTTTCGATCGCGTTTCTTCAAATTCTCAGAAAATTGAGAAATTGTTTTTCATTCCATAAGTGACCGTAAAACTTTAGCAATGTTGTTTTGAACTCTGCAGCAACTTCTGCCACACATTTGAATAGTTGTAGATAAATTATAGTATTCCACTCGCGTATAATGTTTTTTACCCACTCATACGCTCATTTACAACGTTATAACTTATGGCGAATATAAAATGTTAGATCTTGAGAAATAATATAGGATCCACATTATGTTGCTGATTCTGTGGGAATGTCAAGATTTATTGCTGTAGGCAAACAAAAGCCAATAGAAAAATTAAATAATCTCGTGAATGCCCAGTCATGCGGTAATGGTTTTTTATAGAGTCATAACCATCTGGATAACACATTCAGTTCGTGGTGATGGAAACACTGAATGCTTTTCAATGAAAAATTAATATTAATGTAGCGTCTAGAATATCTAAACCTACTCCGTATTACATAATTTTCCAAAATTACATATTGTTACGTTATTCGGGTGCAGAAGCGAACACGACACTATTTATTTTCGAACTTATTTATTTAAACTAAAGAAACACTAATTTATATCGAACTTATAACTACAATTTATGTAAAACGATTTATAACACGCGGTATATAACTGTCTCTCTGACACTCGCTGTTTGACTCCCCGACGGCAGTTATTCGGCCGTTTATATATGAATATGAGATAACTAGACAGGCTTTGGTTCGAGAATCTTCTCGAATGAACTTCCGTCTCCTTCTTTTTGTTCTAGAAGCTTCTTAGAACGAACCTCTCTCTCTAATTGTTCCATCGATTGTTTCCAGAACATTCCAGAATCTTCTGTGACGTTATCTGTCACCGCGGCATATATTGAGTGTTCGGGAATATGCTAGTGCATTGGGAGGTAGGAGAGCAATCTGGTATGCGTGATACAGGATGATCGTTGTACTCCTGCCTTCCTGCTGATGTTTCTAAAGCCCCTCCAAGGGAAATATCATTACAATATTTTCAAGGATCATTTTTTAATGTCTTGAGAAATAATTTCACATCCATGTAAAAAGGCGACATACATTCATTCATCACGTTTGAGATAAATGGATTGATAAAAAACGTCGCTTTTTGTTTGAGAATGATTTCGGTTGACACATATTACTAGGAAATCTGACGAATACATGCATTCTCTTACTAGTACGTTATGCTCGAAATATACAGAGACTTCAAAATAACGAGTACCGGGTACCATCTTTATTTTCCAAATTTGATACTGAAGATTCCTGTTTCTCAATGTCGAAACTTTTCGAATGCCTATACATTTTGAGAATCAGACGGAAAATGATAAACTTGTCAGCCATCTTACTACTACCATCTTGGTCTAAAATCGAAAATTTTCAATTTTCGACTTTCAATTCTTTTGATTCGAACCATAGGATTTTGCAGGCGAATCAGAAGATAAATGACAATGTAGGCGCAATCAATCTTGTTTTTATGAGGAAACTAGTGATGAATAATGAAATATGTGGAGAAGTTAAAAAATCTACATAATGTCATTATTTTTCAAACATGTTCTGAATAGTTTTAACATATCAAAACACAAATGTAGTCTCACAGTCATTCAAACGGTAGAAATTTGCCAATCATAACTGCTGACGTCACGGCTCATTGAGTGAAACAAATAGTTGCCAGATGTCAAGGTAAATCTGATAATAACAAAAATTGCCTGTCTATAAACATTCATAAATAATTATATATTGCTCTCCTAATATACAGGGTGTTTCTTAATATGTGTGAGATACAAGGTGTTGAAGTTGAAAATATTTAGAAAATTTTTATGTCCACCCTGTATGGCTTATCGTGGTGGAAAAATTTAGTCTGTTATGTGACTGACATAGTGTCACAATTACACGATGATATATATGAGGTGGCGCTCGGTTTTCATCGTTCCATGTCAAAGCCACGTCAAAACTGGGGGAAAACAAACTCAATCCCATTAGTGCCATTAGCTTGTATACTGTGTACTGATGAGAGTGATAAGTTTTTAGATTTCTTGACATTAATTGTCAATATTCGATCGAAACCGCTAATAATGCCTATTGTAGATGTTTTCTTGGCAGATATTTTGCTCTATTTAGATGGAAAAAGCCGACCAGTAGTGGAAGGAGAAGCAGTTCTCCGTGCTAATCATGTGATTTTGTGTGAGGCAGAAGACTTCAACAAAAGGCACATTTTTGCATTTTGTCTACAAACTTCGGCGATGAAATCTTCCCCACATGAAGTAAAATTGAAGTTGGGGTCCAGAGGAACTCCTGTAGAACAATGGATTTGTATTTATTCATGCAAAGCAGAACAATCTGGGTATTGTAAACATGTTGTAGCTGTTCTTTTATATGTCAATTGATTTGCTCGTCATACATCACTACCAACAGTGCCAACACTTTATGTCATTGACAATTTAGTCTATGCACTTTATCCATAGACAACAGTTTGTTTTCCCCCAGTTTGAAGTTCGTATTATGTAATCTAGATGTCGCCCACTTCGTGAATCTCGCGAATAGAGTAATCTGAACAGATATCTTGAATGGTCTAATCGACATCCTTGGGCATCTATATAAAATGCATGACGACTCTTCCGTATTTTGTCAGGTGATGAGCCAGGACGTGAAGAAAGAGAACCCGCTGCAATTCAAGTTCCGCGCCAAGTTCTATCCCGAGGACGTCGCCGAAGAGCTCATCCAGGACATCACTTTGCGACTGTTCTATCTGCAAGTGAAGAACGCTATCCTCTCCGACGAGATATACTGCCCGCCCGAGACGTCGGTCCTTCTGGCTTCCTACGCCGTTCAGGCTAGGCACGGGGATTTCCAGAAACTGTTGCACAACTCGGGCTTCCTGGCCAACGACAGGCTGCTGCCCCAAAGGTACGAGAACTTTGTCTCACGTGAGTAGTGTAGCTATGCCGCTCCTGGACCAATTTGTCTAGGCGAGATTCTCTTAGGTTCCGCCCACTGCTGTTTCCGGAGATTAGTGCGTGCTTATTGGCTGCGAACTCTCAGAGCATTCAGGATCTTGCTTCTCTCAAGTGGACTGCTAATCATCTAGATCACTCAACATAATTGAAAAACAAAACGTATATGTGGATTTTGTAGGTCAATAATGAGAGCACTGAGGACTGAGGTAGTTGATGATTCCATTTTGGAAAGATTATTGCAAATTTCATGTCACGGTGTCGTCCATAGGTGGCTTGTTCATATCTGGCTAGAAGGACTATAAAATTTACGATATTTGAGCTAATGGATTGTATGTGTGAAAGTGATGAGTATGAATATTTCCGATACAAGAGAGAGAATACACTTGTCAACAATTATTTTGTCGAGAGCCAACTTATCAATACTAAAATTGACTGCCTTTTCGGGAACCTTTTGCGCTTTCACGGGTCGGTACCATTCCTAATGGCGTTACAATCTCTTGTATACAGTTACTCGAGCATAATATATTATTTGTAAAACAATGTTGTCATGTTTCTACGTTTACTACTAGCAGTCCCCATCAGCGAAGCACGATCCTGTGTGGTCTAAGGTTGCAAACTTTACTGGTCTCCATCATTTTTTCTTACACTTTGATGACACTGTTTTGCCTTCTAGGGTTATGGATCAACACAAAATGTCGAAAGACGAATGGGAGAACAGCATAATGACATGGTGGAAAGAACACAGGGGTATGCTGAGGGAGGACGCCATGATGGAATATTTGAAAATAGCACAGGATCTGGAAATGTATGGCGTCAACTATTTCGAAATTCGAAATAAGAAAGGGACAGAGCTATATCTTGGGGTAGACGCCTTAGGATTGAATATCTACGAGAAAGATGACCAGTAAGTACAAATTCTCCCAGTTCAGGAAAGGTAGCATTTCACCTCGGAATTTAGTAAAGAAGGTTCAATTTTGATGGGCAAATTGCATTCTCCTTGTAATTGCATCTATTTCAAAGTCTACATTGAATTTGTTTATTCATCAGTAATCAATTCGGAAAGGTTATATTTGATGCTGTAAATTCCATTCTTCTTTTCATCAGTTGTACTTCAACTTTACATGACTTAAGGCAGTCTCCATGTGTTCATTGATTTTTATTAGATTATTATAAATAAATTAGGCGTTTAATCTGTGATCGGACAAATAAAGGCGGATTTTCACGCGCCAATCGACGTTCTTCTCGATATTGGAGGTGAGAGTGGTGCAGAACCACTGAAGGTCTGACTGATTTGAATTTTTTCATTGGTTTTTGATAATTTACTTCGGAAAAATTAGGTCTCCCATTTGTGACCTGGACTAGGAAAGGCTGATTCCATGGAGTAAACGACACTCTACTCGCAATTGGCGAATTGACGGCGCAATATAGAAACTTATTTCTCTGTCACACTGACGGGCTCATTGTGTTACTCGGCAACACAATTTCGTGAACAATGAAGTGACATGATTATCCCGAATATTTAGAACATCCTGATGAAACTTATGAGATTACACTTTTCCATGCAAATCAAACCTTCTGAATCAAATCTGAAGTTTTTAATCATTTGATCATTCTGGAACACGTGATTTTGACATGGTTTCTTGAGGGGCACACAAACTATCTGTTAGGTTACCTTTGATGAGCATAGCCCTGGACATCCCTGCCACATCCACAATATGATAACAGTTTCACCAAACAAAATTATGAAATTCTTTCTGGTTTCAACTCGAATTCCAAAGAAAACGATCTCACTTATTCTGGTTTTATATGACAAATCTTGACGAAATGCAATGTTTGCCCCTCAGCAACCTGCCAAATGACGTAATTCTGGAATGATTAATTCTTTTCTTCCGTCGCACTGACGGTGACACTTCCACCAAATACATGGTGCTCAAAATTATCACATGAGAATATACAATATTCGACATTACTTCTTGCTACATCATGAGATGTGTTTGATAGTACACTGACATTATTTTTCATGATGCGAGAATATGTTTATATTAGCGATGCGAGCGTTTTTTGCGTTGAAGTTCAACAACAAATGCATTCATTCACTTAAAATAAGTTTTACAACAATGATTGTTTATGAAATGCAAATACGACGACTGATTCGTTCTGATGCTAATGAATAAGTGCCCGTTTCAGGCTACTGATGACGTAGCCGATGAATCGCCAGCTTGTTATATAAGCATTCCTAGGCGTTCCATTCATATACGGGGTGGGGTGATCTGAATTTAATCGCGAACTATATCGTGAAACTTCTTCTCGTTAAGGCTAACGCCGAAGATCGGCTTCCCGTGGTCGGAAATCCGCAACATTTCCTTCAACGATCGCAAGTTCATCATCAAGCCGATCGACAAGAAGGCGCCGGACTTTGTGTTCTTCGCACCGCGCGTGCGCATCAACAAGCGCATCCTGGCGCTGTGCATGGGCAACCACGAGCTGTACATGCGCCGGCGCAAGCCTGACACCATCGACGTGCAGCAGATGAAGGCGCAGGCGCGCGAAGAGAAGCAGGCCAAGCAGCAGCAGCGCGAGAAGCTGCAGTTCGAGATCGCGGCGAGAGAGAAGGCGGAGAAGAAGCAGCAGGAGTACGAAGACAGGATAAAGGGTGAGGTTTACAAAATGATGCAGGTGATTTGTTGTCGAAAGGGGTAGTTTTTTTGGGGTGCTGAATCCGAATCTGAGGTTTGCCAAGAATATTTCATGATGCGACATTGAAAAATATCCGAAAATAGGTGAAACATATAATGTTCAAAGAGCCCTTTAGGCTCAGGCACTTTATCCCTCGGGATCCCGAGAATAAAGTCGGGATTCGAGAAAAAAAGTATAGGTGGCCCTTCAGCGCCTTCTCAAGATGTTAATTTCAGTTATTCAGTTCGATAATTATGACATTGCACGAAAAAAAGTATGTACACCGTGGCCGCGAAACTTTTTGGCGACCTCAAGATAACTTTTTATTCGGCACGCCAAGAAGCTACTGCGCGGCCTAGGCATACAAATAATTATTCAACTGGATCATAATGTGTATGAAGAAAAACTTTCCAACTGACTCATTCTCCTATTCTAGCTATGCAGGAGGAGATGGAGCGCAGTCAAGCCAACCTGGTGGAAGCCCAGGAGATGATCAGGCGGCTGGAGGAGCAGCTGAAGCAGCTCCAGGCGGCCAAGGAGGAGCTCGAGCAGCGGCAGAACGAGTTGCAGGCGATGATGGAGAGGTTGGAGGAGAGCAAGAACATGGAGGCGGCCGAGCGGCAGAAGCTCGAGGACGAGATCAGAGCGAAGCAGGTGGAGGTGATGCGCATACAGGAAGAGGTGAGGAAGGAATACGGATTATCATGATGGTCATGTTCGTTTCATGTTGGATTTTAATGATTTTTAATGAAGCTGGCCGATTGGATGGCAGCAACTTTGCCGTCGCTTCGCCAAGATTCTTTCAGAATGATAATGTCTTTGCTTTTGGAGATCTGAATTTTGATTGCGAAAATGGTTTTAATTAGATGAAAGAACATTCCAAACTTCCTTCAGATAGTATTCTGATTGTGACAATCTCAAACTTTTCCCAGAATGGCTAAACTTTTATAATGACAATCTATCTTTCTATTTCTCTACCTTGTCCTTATACTATCTTACTATCTTGTCCTCTTACTATCTCATTCACTTCTCCTCTTACTTTCTTATTCCCTTGTCCTCTCACTCTTACTGTCTCATCCTCTTGTCCTCTTATTCTCATATTCTTTTGTCCTCTTACCCTCTTATTATCTTGTCTCGAGTTATATCACCTTACTGTCTTATACTCATGTCACCTTACCTCATGCTCGTTGCTTTACACTTGCATTATCATGTCTTCTAATTCCCTCTTTTCCTAGCCATCTCATTCTCCTATTCTCTTGTGCTCCCACTCACTTTTTCCCTTGTTCTCTCACTTCATTACTTTATTCTTGTCCTCTCACTTTCTTGTTTCCTTGCACTCTCACTCTCCTATTCTCTAGTCCTCTCACTCTGTTATTTTTTTATCCTCTTATCTTCCTACGGTCTTGTCTTCAAACCCTCTTTATTCACTTGTCCTCTCAATCTCTATTTTTCTCTCATTCCTTTACATTCGCATCATCTAGTCATCTAATTCTCCCATTATCTAGTCTTCCTTATTCTCTACCTCTCTCGATGTCTTATTCCCTTGTCCTCTTACTATCTTACTCCTTTGTCCTCTTACTATCTTACTCCTTTGTGCTCTTACTATCTTACTCCTTTGTCCTATCATTCTCTTGTCCATTGGCTCCCTTATTTTTAATAACAGATCGTCCAAAAATCGCAGCTCTGTCGTCAATACCAAGAAACCTATATTTTTCCAAAACTGACAAAAGGTAACCTCATTGAAGTATATGTATTTGAATTCAGAGGAAAAAGCTCTACCACTTCGAAAAATAAAATATTTAGGTTATAAGATGCTTTTTCACATTTTCTAGTACTACATTCTGAATGCCCATGAAAAATACTTCATTTTTGCCCGTTTGAACCGTTCTGTGAGTCCAATTTTAACTGAGATTGCTATTGAGTAAAATATAACCAATCACCATGTTCATAATGATCCTTTTATGCATAAATAATGATTGACGACATAATTCGATCGAAAAATTAACTGGAATGTTTTATTTTTGGACATAAATAATAGTACGTTCTGAAAACGGACCCTCTTTTGACGTAGAAACCTCATCTTCCATAGTTGAAAGAAAATACCAAACGCTCGACGGAGACTGAGGCAACTGATATATCAATTCTTTCAACTGTGATCTCGCACTAATTCACTCTGGAACCAATGAGTGTGACCCATGTGTGACACTTATCAATGTTGCTATATCATCCAAACAAAATATCCGAGAGATCTAAATCGATATTGAAATATCTTTTGATATCCACTACCACTACTGCAGAAAAATATATTCAAGTTGTCAATTGTAGGTTGAATCATCGGAATATTAACTATCTCTAGACAACGAAATGTCTCAATCTCAAAACCATTTGCACCATTACAATTTCACAATAATCCAATACATTTCATAAACGCAGCAACATTGTTTTGTTGGCCCGTTTTACATGGAGCCGCAAAAAGTTAATATAGGTTAGAATTGATCTTCTTCTCGTTCTTATAATCTTTGTCCCAAAAACCAACTTGCCGATTCACCAATCTTGGTGATTTGTCAGAAATAATGTATCATTCATCTCTGTCTGGTATAGTCTTGATTCAGTATTAGGGTTTTGACGTCACATCATCGCCTCGTTTTCAGAGGTCCGAAAAATCGGGGATTTCAATAATTTTTTATAAAACGTAGGGAGCTCACAGCAAGAAACGGTTTGCGGTGGTGAGCTAGTTCGGGTGAGTTCTATCGAATTATGAAATAATTTTTTTTTGTGATATAAGCCCATCAAATGATTCAATATACACGTTTACCAATCAGATACAGCTGTAAATCGATGGAAACAAACCCTACAAGCCCTCCCTCGTTCTCGTTCCAGGTGGAGGCCAAAGACACGGAAACCAAGCGGCTGCAAGAGGAGGTGGAGAACGCCAGACGCAAGGAGGAGGAGCTGCGGCAGCAGCAGCTGGCCACCGCCGCCAAGGGCCACCTCGAGGAGAACGAGCACAACGAGGAGGACGACGAGGCCGTCAACGGTGATGCCGGCAGGGATCTGGCCGTCGACGAGAGCATCGTCGATCCGATCGAAGACAGGCGCACGCTGGCCGAGCGAAATGAACGGCTGCAGGACCAGCTGCTGGTGAGTGGATTTGACATGAGATGAAATGAACCTCCGGTGTATAGGGTGGTTTACCATAAATGTATTCCCCCCCCCCCCTTCATCCAGCTCAGTTATTTTTTAATCAATCGCAAAATTTGAGGCATCATTTAATAGTTATTTATGATATAAGTGCTAAAAGTGACATTTTATTTTGTGAGAAGGGAAGTTTGGGACACGACGCCGAAGGCGGAGTGTTCCATCCCTTCGAACAAAAGAAAAAACACTTTTAGCACATATACACTATTTTTTCTACAAACACCATTAAAAGTCCAAATTAATGCATAACTATTTTACATTACTTAATAATTGAATAAATAACAGCCTCGAGATTCTATTAATCATTCCAGAATTACGTCATTTGACAGGTTGCTGAGGGGCAAACATTTTATTTTGTCAAGATTTGTCATATGAAACCAGAATTAGTGGGATCGTTTTCCTTGGAATCCGGAAAACTGTTATTATACTGTGGATATAGCAGGGATGGCCAGGGGGATGCTCATCAAAGGTAACCTAACAGATAGTTTGTGTGCCCCTCAAGAAACCATGTCAAAATCACGTGTTCTGGAATGGTTAATTCAGAGATGTATATAAATTTAACTGGTGGGCTCACTCTTCAATTGTTTCGTCAGAATAACTCTCGATATGGAACAATTGCAAGCGAGTTTTGGACGTGGGGTTCAGGTATTTGCGATAGAGGCGCCATAATCGGAAAATCGTTCAAAACCTTGGTTCTGTGAGGGATGAATCTATTTCCATCATTGTTCTGTGGTCGAATGAATACTGTGCTCAACATTTTCATTCAAATTTCAATTTGAAATAGAAGCAAGAACTCTTTTTTGTAGCCGATTTCAATAAGCTTCACTTCTTTCATGACATGTACCTATTTAAAGCATAAAATCTGATAAATTTCCTCTTTGAAGAACCAGAACAAACTATTGAAATAGACCAATATCGAGAATCATAATAGGCAGATATGGTAACTGGTACTCACCTTTGAATTTATTCACACCAGTTCACGCTAATATTTCAAATCACTGAAATAATACTGTTGTAGAACAGAGATTTTCTTTTTTCTATGGTGGATTAGGTATTATACACAAAATTTAGAAACTACGGAACACGTCCCTGATGAACACTTGACCCCAATCTCAGAAATAACCATTATTTCAGCTCAAGAATATTTTTGACATATTGACGTTTCGATCCTTTGATCAGGAATCAGTTCACTGCTCTGATCCAAATCATATACGTATCCAAATATTTATCGGTCGGTAATATGTTTCCTGTAAATATGGATTGTAACCAGGATGAGCTTAGCGAGATTTACCCACGTCAAGTATGTTTATCAAAGGTTTATCAGAGTAGGCGCCATCGAGAAACTTGCAAACGACCTTCAATAGGGAGCAAGCGCACCAGTTGAATTTCTATACATCTCTGTTAATTCTATTCTATTCATGAAACAAGTTACCAAGGTAAACAAAATCTGAATTTGTTGATTTATCTTTCTTGACAACTAACGTCAATAAATCACGAATTATTCTTTCTCGTTTCCTCGTTCCTCGATGGAAAGTGCCTAAGAAAATGAGTTTCTTCCGCCACAAATTGAAGAAGCTGCCAATAAAGCTGTTTTTGCATTATTGCCTAGTAAGTCAAAGCGACAGTACGAGTTTTCATACGAACGTTTCTTGAAATGGTGTGATCAGAAAAATGTCAGTGGAAAGGAGGCCAGTGAAAAAGTGCTTCTGGCATACTTTGAAGAAAAGTCCAAAATATGGAAATCGTCAACGCTTTGGTCGAATTACTCTATGTTAAAGTCGTTGATGAACATAAATGATCATGACAAGGATATCGACCGAAAAAGTCAAAAGTATTGACAAGAGAACAAATCGACAAATTTCTCGCAGAAGCCCCAGATGAAATATATCTAATGCAGAAAGTTGCTGCGATTTTTGGTGTTTTTGGAGCCTGTCGTCGAGAAGAACTGTGCGATTTGACAATAAATAATATCGAGGATTCCGGAACTTCACTAGTTGTGGATATACCAGACACAAAAACTAATGTGCAACGCACCTTTGTTGTAAGTGGTACATTGTATATGAACTACTACAAAAAGTACTTAGCCCGTCCAGTGGATATTAATCATTCTAGAGTTTTTATAGAGTGCAGGACTCCAGTTGGAATCAACACATTTGGTAAGATGCCTGACAAAATTGCCGAATTTCTTAATTTGCCTGATTCCCATCTATATACTGGACATTCTTTCCGACGTTCCTCAGCTAGTTTGTTGGCGGACTCTGGTGCTAGTCTTACTACAATTAAAAGACATGGTGGATGGAAGTCCAGTACAGTTGCAGAGGGTTATATAGAAGACTCGCTACAAAGGAAACAGAACATTGCAGATCAAATTTTGTCGAAAATTTCGGCAGATAATATTGCTCTCTGCTCTGGTACAAGCTTCACCAAAATAAATTCTGTCACATCTACCAATGAGACTGGCCATGAAGTTTCGTATTATAATTGTAGTTTCGCCAATTATTGTACTTTCAATTGAATAAACACTTCATTTTGAATTATGTTTGCATATTTTCTCATGAAGATAAATCACTTTTAGCACTAGTGCTAAAGGTGGTTTACTTTTAACACCAGTGTCATAAACTGACATTTTAGACACTGACAGCATGCGTCAATAGTTATTTATTATACAAGGGAAAAAAGTAGTAGATTTTAGCTCCAGGTTGTGTTGTCTCCCGACGCGTAGCGGAGGGAGACAAAAAACCGTGAGCTAAAATCTAATATTTTTCCCGTGTATAAAACACTATTTTTTTCTGTGACCGAAGGAAGGACGAATCAATATTGAGAAGATATTACATTATTTCGAAATCTGAAAATTATCGACGTGAAATTTCAAGTTTTTAACAGTAGAGACACCTGCGTTTTATAGGCATCTTTATCATTCTTTTGAAGTAATCAAATATCTGATGTCTCTTCTGTCAGTTCAATTCTGTGATTTGATTTTAAAAAATTGCGAATTCAGTAGTTGTTTAGTAATATACGATACCGCGAAGTCTAATGGAAGATAAAAGGACTTGCAGTTCTTTCTCGGAGACGGTATTATTGACTCATTTTTCGGAACTATAGCACAACAAAAGCCATTAACAGAGTATATATATGTGATATATATCCGGGAAAAAAGTACTCACTTTTTTCCCACGGGAAAAAAGTAATTTATGAAAAGTGACATTTTATAACCTGCCAACAGAGATGAAATGCCAAACTTTTTTCCCGTCACAGAAAAAAAATTATACTTTCACTGACGTTTGTAGAAAAAATAATTTTTGATGAATTCATTATTCTAAATTTTTTGGGATTCTCCTCATTTCTATAAAATAAAAATATAAATATTTGGCACAGTGGCGTATCTGGCCCCTTACTCTGGTAGAGGGTAATCAAATTCAGGAAAAGGTAGGTAAGTAGTTACAACAACAAAAAGAGATCACAATAAAAAAGGTACATTATGAAAATAATGACTAGGTATTCAGTATTCACATACCTAAACCTGTTAAATCGGGTCGATTCTGTTTGCAAATAGTAATATGGTTGTAGAAAAGATATTGCTATCATAGCAAGAATCGAAAGAGTGGAATTATTCTAATTATCGATTTTTGGCAATGTGATCTGTCAATTTCAATGACATCTGATCAGCTTTCTTGCTATCTCGGCAACATCAATTTTGTGCTTGCTATCTTATAACAAGGTAGTGGATTCTTTGTTTTTCCACTACAAATTCTTCCAACTGTATGAAAATCCAGAAAATAGTGGATTAAAAACATATGAGAGTTCAGTTGTGTCACTGATTACTCGAAAACCTTTCCTCAAAGTTTCAATTCATATGGAAGAATTATTGAAAAATTTTGAATGGTGATTATAAACGTAATAGCCAACTCGAATTTCTTCATCATCAAGTTGATTGATGAATGGTTCTAACATCACTTTTGTCTGCACCTTTCACCATTGATAGTGCCATCGAAGAAAATCGGTCCATATATTCGCCTACGAGAAACTGCTAACCACACCCCAATTTTTTGAGAATGTAGTGGAGTCTCAATAAAATTGTGGGGATTCTCAGATCTCTAAAACCTAAAATTTTGTGAGTTCACGCATCCCGACAAATGAAACCAAGCCTCATCGCTGAAAAATGTTAGGTCCAATAGCTGGTCATCGTTGAGATTATTTTGGAACCATCGGCAGTACTCCATTGGCAGAAGTTGCTGTAGTACACTGGTCTTGTAAGTGTTTTTTTATCGCTTAAAGTGCACGAAAGGGAATCCCTATAATGTTCAAAGAACATCGTGCACACCAGATTGTAAAGATTATCTCTTCAATGACATTTGGGGATTTTGCTCAACACGCGCCCTTAGATTTTCGACAACTCCTTCCCATATTTGGTTCCTTCCTGTTGATTTCTTTTTATTAACGTTTCCAGTTTGGATGAATCTGTTGATCACTGTTCTGATGTGGGCTTTCAAAGAAGATTCTTGGATCTATACATTAGGATATTTCGCCAGGCAGGCTACTACCGAGTAACTCCATTCACCATTGATGAATGTGCCATTTCGACAATGACAAGACATTACAATAAATGTATTCTGCTCCGAGGAATAAGCCACGATAATCACGAAGTAGAAAACAGAATCGTTTGAAAATTTCAACGAAAAACTGACAATTGTGTGTGAATCTCCATAAATGAAAGGCGGCAAATGGAGAAAATATTTCAACGACTACTACGATGTTACGATCAGTTATAGATAGGGTCCCTTGATGGAAATTGACGTTAAAGTCATCTAACAGGGTACGGACAGATCATAGCTGCATTCTTTTTTAATAATCTAGAGACTTTAGTTTTGTCTACTGGCATCCCTGACATTGCTGTCACGTCACATCCATGGGCGCTACAGAAAATCATTCTAAATTTCTATGATAGGTATTTACTTGTTGAGGAAGATCATATTGCGAACGTGTTTTGTAATTATGATCCGATTCTATTCAAAATTGGAAGATACAAGATGACGGATCCAATATATAGCGAAATAAATTACTAATTATGATCTGATTCTATTTGAGATCAATATCTGAGGGTTTTCGGGGTCGAACTTTGTGATTTTTTGTCAAGATTGGGAAATTCAGGATAGCGGATCCAATAAAAATCAAAATTGGTATCTGGGGATTTCCGGGGTCGGAGATTATAATTATTTCGTCAGAATTGGGATATTCAAGATGGCGGATCCAATATGGTGGACGAGTTTTGTGATGAAGATCCGATTCTATCTAAAATTGGTATCTGGGGGTATTCGGGTTAGGAGATGATGATTTTATCGTAAAAATTGGAAAATTCAAGATGACGGATCCAATATAGCGAAAGACATTAGTTTATATAATAATTATTACTCTACCACAAATAGAAAATATGTTGGATGCACGAGTGAAAATAGCGTGCAAGTTATAATCTCTGGTATACAGTCTAAGAACAGTCTCTTTTGGTGAAATACATTATAAGCTTTCAGTACAATTTATATGTTCCCTACCTCGCAAAGGTTATGCTGGAGTAGTAAACTCTCAAACTAGAGGATTGGTCATCTATATCGTGGTATAGTTGAATGAGGAATTCCATATGGGAATTACGTATGATACGCCAGTGACCTCAATATAACCTAAAAAACAACAAATGTCAAAAATCTAGTGTTTATCCCCAGAATTGAATAAGGATGGAACTATATAACTGTTTCACAAACCCTTTAGAGTGAGAGGAGACGAGTATCTGTCCGTACCATGTTAAGATGACTTTAACGTCAATTTCCATCAAGGGACCCTTGCTATAGAAACCCTGTACTATGTAATTTCCTTTATCAATATTTCCGAGAAAATAGTCCACCTGCTTAACTTTTTCTCTTCCGTTCCACAGGCGCTGAAGAAGGACCTCGCCCTATCCCGCGACGACACGAAAGAAACCGCCATGGACAAGATCCACAGGGAGAACGTACGTCAGGGCAGGGACAAGTACAAGACGCTGCGCGAGATCCGCAAAGGGAACACCAAGCGCCGCGTCGACCAGTTCGAGAACATGTAATCTCGGCCGTCGAAACGACAATGCCTGCGCCGCTGTTCTGTTGTGTGTAGGCACAGGGTAGTACGTGCCGAGGATGGTTCGCTGTTTGTGTGGGCGCGAATTCAATACTACCCGAACTAGAGACAATAATCCGTGCGGAAACAAGTTGACACATAATTTTCGGCCGAGAGCACATTGAAACAGCGAATCACTATCGGCCCCAACAGTCAATTGCTTTACAGTGTTTTTTTTTCGATTGACCACTTGAAAAAATAAAGGCAAACATGAATAGGAGGCGGGTCATAGACGTCAGCAGCGGATGTGTCGGCAGCGGCAAACCGATATTGGTAAAATGTTAGAGTGATATCTGTTGTGCTGCCACGGCTTGGTTGCACGCATATTTATTATGTTTGTTCGTCATCCATCTTGAAATGACCGTTATAGATTCACAATCTGGCCGCTGTCGATCCGACACTGGAGACAAACTCCATGATCTTATATTGTAGCACAGTTTGAGGAATGTATGTAGGTATATTCTCAGAACTGTGATTGTAGTACCACAATAATATATCTCCAGAATCCTTACGCATTTTTGGACGGCGGAAATTTGATCAAAAAACAAATGATAGAAAAACATTTGATAGTCTTTTGATCGAAAGTGTTTTTGATAGAGATGCATTTGATCGAATGCTTTATGATAGAAAATACATTTGATAGAAACATAAATGATAGAAAATACAATGGATATGAAACATATTTGATAGAAAATACACTTGATAGAAACAGCATTTGATAGAAAATTCAACGGGGCTACGCTCAAGTTAGGTCAGTACGTTTGTGAAGATATTATGATCCTTCTTCATATATTTGAGAAGAAGGAGCTAGATGGAAATCGAAGCTTATGAGTTTATTGATACCACAAACTTCTAGCTCCTTCTTCTCAAATATATGAGGAAGGATCATATCTTCACAAACGAACTGACCTAACTTGAGCGTAGCCCCGTTAAATTTTCGATCAAATGTATTTTCGGTGAAAAGTTCTTTCTATTTTTTGATTTTCGATCAAAAGACTTCTATCAAATGTTTTTCTATCATTTGTCTTTCGATCAAATTTCCGCCACCCGCATTTTTTATGGTTGATCACAGCAAACTATCGTCTGATGACATCAAATATTATTACAATAGTTATTATACTCATTGTCTACCAATTTATTTCTGTAGTAATGACTTTGAGCTGAACATACTTGTTCATAATACAGTGTATCACAATTTGGTCCATCCGAACCCACCCGTGTACTTTCTAGGGCGATTTGAAAAATTATTTCCTATAAACATATTTTTTTGGCCTACTGGGATCATAAAAACTCCATCAAAATTGAGGAAAACGCATGAGGCATTCTCTTTTACTCATATTCTGATTATGGCAATCGATTTGGACGAGTTACAAATACTGCTATTCCAATTTTCAAAACAATATCTCATAAGGGGTGTTTTTTATCAACGTTACAATTTTTCAATAATTGCATTGTTCAGTCACCGTGTATGATAGTTCTTGATAAAATTATTCTAGTCGAGATTTGATCATATGTCTACAGAGTAAGATAAATTACGTATAAAATCACTAGAAATTAAAATTTATAATGAAAAAATGAAAAACTGAATAGTACCAATCGAAAAATAACATCAGAAGATTATAAAAATAATGAAACAGCAGCGATTTCTAACAAGTTCAGATTTTTATATTCTCGATCAAATCTACTTCATTCTCTATGCACTTTCCATATCTCTTTCGCACGCTATTTTCAACTCTCCTCAGTTCTTCTGGTGGTATTTCTCTGCAAATTGTTATTATTCATTATCCCTTCTCTATTTCATGGCCTGAATTTTTCACTCTGTAGCCAGATTATCTAATCCTGACTACCATAATGTCTGGTATTATTCAAATTCTTGAAAGAATTATACACGGTGACTTGAAGAATGCAATTATCCAAAAATTGTAACTTTGATAAAAAACACCCTTTATGAGATATTGTTTTGAAAATTGTTATTGGGGTATTTGTGGCTAGTCCAAATCGATTGCGATCATCAAAATTTCTGAATAAATAATGTTTAATCCGTTTTCTTCAATCTTGCTTGAGTTATTGGGATCGCAGTAGGCTAGAAAATTGTGATTCATTTCTTTTTCTTGACAAAGTAGATAATTTTGAGTACTATATTATGAGAAAAAAGAATTCTCAAATCATCCTAGGAATGCGAAAGTACAGGAGTGGGGAGGTCCAAATTGTAACACACTGTATAACAATGATACACAAATGTTTGATTCGCAGTAATAAGATCAAAAACTGGAAAAGTAATGTGGCTGTAATATCATCAGACTACACCTATTCTACGTCATCAACTCAACCAATATACAGGGTTATTGGTAATTCGGTACATTCCTTTGGAGATGTGATAGGGAAGGTAGTAGGGAGTGAATTTGACCCTAATATGCATTCGGCAAAAGTAAATAGTGTTTGAGATATTTGAATTTTTCTGTTTATCTGTTTATTTTTTAACCAACAAAAATATTTATTCATTTCAGTTATTGCATTACATTATTTCCTCCATTGATACATTTTATACAAATTATATATAAAGTATAATTAATTTTCTAGTAGGAATGACAAGAATGATCAGACAGTAATTCCTGGTATATGATCATTCATGAAGTATTATCGACTGTTGTATAATTGAAATTACAAATAGTAAACAAAACTTGCATATCATTATTATATCTCAAAATAACAGTACTCATATTATAGTGAACAAGAAGGGAAAAAAAGAAACAGTGAAAAAAACAGGAAATTCTTTCAGCTTTGATCATTCCTTTGTATTTACAATTTATCTATGATCTAAACTATTTCTGGAATTTTTTGGTGCTGATAGGGAATTTCACAATGATTTTTGATTTTTTTTTCACGATTTAGGACACATTCAGCATTTTTTCAATTTTGTTACGATTGCGGTTGACCCAGAAAAAAATTATTAAATTGAACCTGAATTCAAACGATAGCTCGAATGCGCGCGAAATATTGATGGCATTTTATTGGACGAATACAAGGTGCGTCACACCGCTTCATACGCTTCGGACGGACTTTCTCATCGGGTAATTCGTCTTGTCACTTGGTCTTGTCACCATTCGTCATTGCATTTGTCACTCAATAAAAACTATAATATGACACTGATAGATCACTGAAAATGAAATGAAATAATGAACTATGAACTATATTTCGAGGTGAATCTTTTTCTTTTTCTATAGTTTGTTTTGTAGCCATTTTTCTCTCGTCACAGATCACCCAAACACTCTGTGCTTGTGGTTTTGTGCAACGCATCCTCTTTGGGTCGTCAGAGGGAGCCTCAAGAAAATACAAGTGACGTCACACCGCGAAAAATTGTCGTTTGGAACTCTCTTAATTTGTAGCACTTTTGAAGTATTAATTAAACGGTTGTAAAGGAATCAATAGATGATAGTAGGAAGTGCTATTTCATGTACTGTATCATGTATGAGACCGTTCGCCATATAAAAAGGGCTATTTTCAATCATAGTGAAATTGCCTATTATGTATTCTAGTTGAAGGGTTGGAGAAATGTAAAGCAGATTTTCAGGAAACTAACTTTCAAACCATCAAAGTCTACCTTTTGGAGAAAATCAGAAAAATTTAAATATCCCAAAAACAATTAACTTTTGCATAACCTCCTTTATCACATATCCAAGTAACCCTGTATCATTGAAGCCTTGTTCTATTTCAAGTCTGTTGACTGATGAATGCACAACCAATATCCTTCAAGTGCCGCAGTAGGATCATGGAATAAGCTTCTGACATAATATAATAATCTCCCTTGAAGTGCCGGTTCGAGACCGATCTTTTTTTTATTTCTATCCGAATAGTGTCGGCAGAACAATTTTAGAACAACAACAACAATAGTGTCGGCAGTTTTTTGAGGGTATTTAAAGGGCCGCTCGACATATGTTTGCTGGGTCACCCCACACGGATTATTTGTTGACGAGGCTTCATTTCGGGTAGTCTTGAATTCGTGCTTTGTATGGAGGACGGCTCAGTCTCGCAGATTATGGTTATGGAACACTTGACATACCGGGTGTCGACGAATTCATTAGGCAAGACGTGGTTTCCAGAGTTCTGATGGTATTATAATTATTCAAATTTGGCAAGAATGTTGGATTGAGGAATTGTGAAATTTTTCGATATATTATGCTATCCCATCCCTTAGGTTTTCACTGGAAAAGACTCCAACTTTTCATCTTCGAATTCCATTCCATAGTCAGTTAGGGATTATCATAAGGAATTCAACAATATCAGGTTTCATAGGGTTTCAAATGATTAAGAAGATACTAAGACGTCTTAGAGGTGCTGAAAATTACGATTTTTTTTTTAAATATTAAAATCAGATTTTTTTTTATGAAATCGTGATTCTTTAATTTCTATTGATTCTTTCCTTAAATACCTTCCTATGGAAATAATTAACTTTATTCACGACTAATATATTATACTTGTGGTTTTTGAAGTATAATGCCATATATTAATCCCGCAGGGAATAAAGACTATTAATCCCTCGCCATTATTCCCTGCGGGATTAATATATGGCATTATACTTCAAAAACCACAAGTATATATATTAGTCGCAAATAAAGTAGAGTATACTACTCGCAATAATGGCTATTATTCTCTCGGAATGTTACTCCCTCGCCGCTAACGCGGCTCGGTTCGTAAAAAATCCTCGAGAATAATAGCTATCATTATTGACTCGTGGTATAATCTACTATTACAATCATTTATTTTCATTATTTTCCTCTATTCAGCGTGCTGTGGCTTTCCTGTCGGGTCAAGAAAGAACATTCGATTTCACATTTGAATAATTTTAAAAACCAGTTGAATCAAATAGTGATTCAAATCATGATTCAAATCATTCGATTTATTGATTTAAATCGTCGCAATCCACTCATTGAGCAATGGATATCTTGAACTGGAATATCTTTGTAATCGTTTGAAATAACCCTATGAAACCCAGTATCGTTGAATTTGTGATGATAAAACCTCTAACCGAATATGGAACAAAACTGAAAGTGAAGGAAAATTGTCCAATTCTTGAATCCTACACACCTGCCAAAATTGAACTTTGGAAACCATATCTTGTTGAATGAATTCGTAAGCACCTGGTATAAATGAAGTTCGGCTGTCGTCGCCACGTTGCCTTCTAGCCGTTTACATTGCATTATTGGTTCAGTAAAACGGCAACAATAAAATCTTCATATGGAAAAAAATCAAGTAGTGGTTTTATATGTTTTTGAGGGTGCTGAATCCGAATCCGAGGTTTGCGAACAATATTTCCTGAGCGTTTCAACTTCCTATACGGTAATCTTTTTGCTTAAATGTATAACTATACAGGGAGATTCAGAAGTGAGCAGCATCCTTTCAGGCGCGTATTCCTTGCATGAAAATAAGGCTAAGATTTCGTATCAATAAGGGTCCGAAAATGCCCCTTTGAATAGGACACCTCGAAGACAATTTTTTCTCTATGACTTTGAAATCCTTCACAATAAATTTTTGAAAATCAGTGTACGGCATGAACATTTGATGGTAAATAAGACTACGAATTCAAAATTTCAGAATTTCTTTCAGAGGCTGCACTTGGGGGGGGGGGAAGGTAGGTGTAAAAGCATCCCTTCTTTTGATATTCAGGTTATAGTGATTTACGCGAATCAGAAAGTTCTCAGTCGATTTTCTCTTTTTTACGTGAAAAACTCTAGAATTTTATAATTTTCAAACGAAATCACAATAACCTGAATACCCAAGGAAGGAGGGACGTTTTTACACTTACCCTTATTTTGAAGGATTTTAAAGTTATAGAGAAAAATCGTCTTTGAGGTGTCCAGTTCAAAGAGGCGTAGCTCCCTTAGGAAGCATTTTCGGACGCTTATTAATAGGAACTTTTTGCCATATTTTCATTCAAGGAAAACGCCCCTGAAAGGATGCCGCTTACTTTTGAATCACCCTCTATATTCCGAGGAACGAAAAAAAACCTGAAAATTCCGCTGTATTTTGCGAATATTTCGAAAAGCTCCAGAAATTTTAATTTGAATCTCATCAATGTACAAATACCATTTTATTGGACTATAGTGGGATTGAGTCACCCTTAAAAGATGACGCATCTACTGTGATTAACGTCACCGCGTTTACATTGTAGTATAGGATTGAGCCATCGTTATACAAAAACAGTTGAACATCCTTGGGTACATTGATTTTGGCCATATTCTCGATGGTGAGGCATTTCGTGTAGCGAAGTTTGCTAAGAAAGTGTCAATTATCGAAATCAAAATTGAATCTGACACTTTCAAACTGTTGATTAATTGAATTGAGTACTGTAAGGTGTCTTCTATAATTGAAAATTGAAGCAGGAAACTTCTCTTCTCTTCCATCTTTCTCTTTAATGCTACTAACTTGGCCGCATTGAAATATAGAGAGGTCCGATAAATCTTTCCTTGTCTAACCTCTAGTCTGCGCCACTGAACTATTATCCATGTTATAATAGGCCTGTTCCTTTGTGCTGGCTCTACCTGCTGAAATTGACTTTTTTCTGACTTTCTATGTTTACATCATGCCATGAACAGAAGGCCTGTTCGTTTGTGCTTGCTCTACCTGCTGAACTTGATTTTTTTCTATGACTCTCTCTGTTTACATCATGCCATGAACAGAGACAACAATGGGATAATAATCAGCTTTAGCAAGTTCAGCAATACAAACGAACAGGCCTAGAGGCAACTATGGAAAAAATCAACTTTAGCAAGTACAGAAATACAAACGAACAGGCCTTATGATATCCTTTCCTTCTGAACTAACTGGCATACAGGGTGGAGACTTTCAACTGGAAGAAATTCGCTACTGGGGAAGAGAATGATTCAACGTATTTTCAAGAAAAATTCGACTTCTAGTGAAAGAGATAGGGCATTTCCACCAGTTTGCAAAAACACTTCGTTTCGAAATGTGAATACGGCAAAAAACTAAATTTCTTTTTTCAGCTCTATAAAAACACTGGAATACAATAGCAGATAGCAGTAGTAGCAAAAAATTGCAATAAATTGTTCTACACACATTTTGAGCAATTGATACGTTGAAAAAAAAAATGAATTTTGAAATTACATTTCGATTTTTTGCAAACCTTTGAAAGTATGAAAAACGAAAATTTGACAAGTACGCTGGATTCTCCCTTCCAATAGCTTTTCAATGAGGGGGTCACAAACCATTGGGTTACATTTGAAAAAATCATCTTGAGGGTGGTTTCAGCTACCCCTAGAGGGATAAAGATAGGTAAATACATTGAATCGTTGACGTACGTCGGGAAATTTTAGAAAGAATATTCACATCCCTGCTAACGAATTTATTCCAGTTAAAGTCTCCACACTGTATTTCACTTGGACTGAACTGAATCAGTTAACATGCATTCTAACTAATCAAATTCTTTGGAAAGAACACAATAACTGATACAGGTTCACTTCTAGTGAGATATCTCAGTCAGTTCAGATTATAATGATGTGATATGTCTATGTCAATGTCATTGACTGATAACCTTTGAAATTTTTTAAATGAAATTACTAATTATATCATATACTTATTTTGACATATTTTGTTAATATCGTTAATTTGACACTGCTGAATCCAAAAATAGTTCAGTGGCACAAACTAGATGTTAGACAAAGACAGATTTATCGGACCTTTCTATATTTCAATGCGGCAACGTTGGTAGCATTGAAGA